TCCGATATTCAGTTTTAAGGCCGATACCGATAGGGGCCCGATTATATCGTGCATCCCTACTGACTACAGTATTATTATGCTACATTAACACATGTTGCTGAAACGGCCTTAACCCTGTCAATCACACATGTGATAATTTGTAAAATATGTTATATTACATGATTTATAGATTTCATTGACTTAATACCGACTATGAAATGTGATTTCAAATTTTTTCTACCATACATCACAGTAACCTACTTATGCTATGAAACAGCAAGTGTTTGACAAAGTGATTACTTTTTCTTTGTTTTAAAAGTCTTAAGCCCCCCTGAAAATGAGAAAATCATCATTGTTAGATGCTGTAGCACACATATTGTTGGCATTCCGACTGGTCTAACTAGGGAGTACCAATATGGCGGCTGGTGACTTCACAACACCGTGTACTACCAACGGCCTATCGGCAATCCAGTGAATAAATAGAGATCATTGGTACAGGCTGTTGCTCTGTTTATCGGTCAGACCAATCCAGTACCAAATGCAGGAAGTAGACGCTCTTATTGAATCATTTATTTTATAATTAGTGCGTTTGAGTAAAACCTTCTAAGTACTTTTCCTTCTGATTTTGAGGTGTCTTGAGATTTATAAAGGGTCTTTATGCTAATTTACAGCTTTGTTATGAATTCTTACCGGTACTAGTCAGCGTTGGATGTCTAATTCCTAAAAGGTGTTTTAAATGAGCCGTTCTAGCGACACCGTACAAGATTAAATGGCTCTCTGTGCTGTTTGCTGGGTGAGATAAAGATTCACTGGCAGCTGTGAGACAGATGTAGACGGAGGAAGAAAAAACTCGTCAGGATCCTAATAAATGATCAGAGACGGTCTGGTGCTGCTGCAGACGCTGGGCAATAAATCACAAAGCACCAGGCTGGTTTCTGGAATGCTTCCCTTTGAGCATAAAGACGTTCCTCTGAACAAAGCTTTGAAGGCCACGTTTGAAGCATGAAGAATTTATTTTAAATGCATAAGATAAATATATAAATAAATGACCTGTTTTCATTCATAAATGCATAGCATTGCTATATGGGACATTATCATTAAGGCTAAATGTGCTCTGTGATAATAGGAATGACATTAGGAGGTGTTTTGTTTTTATCTAATTTCCTTAGATTGACTCTCTAACTGGCCTGGGAGTGGTGAAAGTGGAGTGCGGCTCTCAGTTCTCTGTGGCGCTCACTAAATCCGGGGCCGTCTACACGTGGTATGTGCGCCATCTCTTACACACGGATCAGCCTCAGACTTTTTGTCCTGTCTGGGTTTTGGGTGACAGAGGGCTCCGCTCTGTGTTTGTCCCACCTAAAGGGGGAAAGGTGACTACCACAGACTGGGCCATGGTTCTGATGACCACGTCCGACGGCCTAGACAAGTCCAGGGGCTTCAAGGGAAGAAAGTCATCGCTATCGCCACAGGGTCTCTGCACTGTGTTTGCTGCACAGAAGATGGTAAGATGCGTTACTGGCTTTCCCCAGATGGTACTGTCTGCCTGAACATTGATTTAAAATCTTTTATAATCCCATGTAAATGTGAATCCTTATACTTTGGAAACATTTCATTTGATAAGTGGACTCTGGGGGACAAAAATCTGATGTTAATGCTTCTGGCAGCAAGCAAAAAGACAATCACTAGAGGCTCCTACAGTTAAAGGACTGGATCAATATTGTACAAGACATCTATATTCTGGAGAAGTTGACTTTTAGGGTTCAAGGTTTATGGGAATCATTCTTCAGGATCTGGTCTAAATGGACCAACTATGTTAAATCAGTATTCCCTGTGGACTAAATATATCTTTCACAATTAAATGCTGTTGTGCTGTGTACTGCACCCCGGTTCAGAAGGAGGGCAAAATGTTGTTTCCCTTAACATGAGAAAAATCAGACTAGACCCGCCCCTACCCCCCCAGTCACCCTTTTGTTATGGATGTCTGGTTATTATACAAAAATCCTGGATTGGCTTATATTACTCCTGCTCGTTGTTATGGAAGCTGATCTGTACGAAGTAATTGTAACTTGCCTTTCCAAATAAAAGGTTAAATAAAACAAAAGATATTTTATAATCATTCAGATTGATAAATAGCCTGACAGAAGAGTTACTCTTAAAAGTTTTTCCGTTTGTCACATTGCAAAATTATTATTTTATACTAAATGATAATACTATTATATTTTAGCTTTATTGGAAAGTTAAAGGATAATTTTTATACAAAATAATCTGAAAAGTGTGGGTAGTATTTGTTTTATGCCCCCTAACTTACTTTGTTCCCCTAAATAAAATCCGATGCTGCCAATTCCCATTCCAAATGAATGAAGGAATGGGCCAAACAAAAAAACAAAACAAAAAAAGAAACTCAAAACAAAAATGGCATTTGATTTCTTACTTTAATCTCAGAATTCTTCTCATAGAATTAGGAATACTTTTTCTTGTTTTTTTATTTGTTTTGTTTTTAATTGCCCTGATCCTCTTCCGTATCTCTGGACCCTGAACAGTTGCAAAATTAAAAAGTCTTTCTCAGTGTTTTGGAGCCTGAAAACAAACCACTGCAGCCAGCAGATTGAGAAGTCATGTCGTTAATTGTAAAAGCAGGAAAATCACTCATTCCTCTAGATTAAATCCTAAATCAGAGAACCAGAAATACGTCTGATCAGATTAGAGTCATATCTGTTTTATTTCCTCACAACAACTTCTAGCTCAGTTAGCGTTAATCTTTCAGGGAAGCTCAGATTGGCATCAAGCGGCGCTCTCGGTCACATGACTCATTTAGTGATGGATCCAACCCTCTAAAGTTACATAGGAGAGTGTTTGAGAAGGACGGGCTTCGCCATGCAATGATACGCACCAGGTGCTGTAGAATAAAATCCGGTCAAAAGTTTATGATTTGTTGCTTAATGAGGGCATTCCTATATCTAAATATTTAGCTGTAGCTCTGATCTTCTCATCTTCTCTTCAGCTTTGATTGGCAGCTTCAGTATTCAGCTACATTTGTTTCCAATGTAGGCTGTGAAGTGAGACCTAACAGTGGATTTATTTCTCTCCACTCTTTTATTGAAGCAAAAATTTAGAAAATTATTACGGATTTTTCCTCTATATTATACATAGATTAACTGTATTAACATAACGAATTTAAATTAAAAACACAGATTGAATAAAATAAATAGTGGATGCTTAAAATAGATCTTACAGACATTTCTTTGTAAATCTTTAGTTATCATGTCTTATAATTGTCATTTTTTGCTGGTTTATCACAAAAAAATATTATATCTCATTGGGGTTTGGGTTTATAACATGGGGAAATGTGAAGAGGTTCAGTCGGTGTGAATAGTTTTGTGACACAGCAGCCTCTCTAAAAGTCTGCGTGTTTCGTGGCCCACAGGAGAGGTTTACACATGGGGAGATAACGATGAGGGCCAACTGGGAGATGGGACCACTAACGCCATCCAGAGGCCCCGACTGGTTGCAGCGCTGCAGGGGAAGAAAATCAACAGAGTGGCCTGTGGCTCTGCTCACACCCTCGCCTGGTCAACCAGCAAGCCCACCAATGCTGGGAAGCTCCCTGCACAGGTACCGTCCACTGGGTGGCAGTAAAGTCAAGTTTTTGCAGCCCTGTCTCTCTCTCCATCTCAGACCTTGAAATCTCTATTTATGCTTCTCCTCAACCTCCCTGCTTGTGTTTTAAGGTCCCCATGGAGTACAATCATCTCCAGGAGATCCCCATCATGGGCCTGAGGAACAGACTCCTGCTGCTGCATCACTTCTCTGAGCTTTTCTGTCCGTGTATTCCTATGTTTGACCTGGAGGGCCGGCTGGGTCAGACCAGCCACGGCCCGTCGGTCGGCTTTGATACGCTCAGGGGTATCCTCATCTCCCAGGGCAAGGTGGGTCACCACCACGAATTAGAACGTATTAGAAATAAACTCATAGTGTAAAACCAAGGGGGATTTATTTTATTCCTTATAACTTTGTCTGCAAACAGGAAGCAGCTTTCAGGAAGGTGGTCCAAGCTACGATGGTGAGAGACAGGCAGCATGGACCTGTGGTGGAGCTGAACAGAATACAGGTGTTATTACCTTCTTATTTAAAGGCCCCATATACTAATAAATGGTTGCTTAAGAACTCCTCTTTCCATGTTGGTTGTGCTCTGCATCCCTCCTCCTCTCCCCCTGAGATGCTACACTCCAGCCTTGCTCCTGACTGTTTCATGTGATGTCTTTCATAAGAGGATTCTTTTTTTTTCTTTTTTCTCTGATGGTGTGTGATCTGCACTCCTTCCTGCCTTAAGGGGGTTTCCTGCTGTAACGTTAAGCCCCCACAGAGAGTTCTGAAACTGTTCTGTCCCTGTCTGACTGAGCCACCTTCACCGTGTCTCTGACAGGAATTCATCGACCACAGAATAGGAACAAGTCAGACCTTTTTTCCTCTTCGTTTCTATTTATTTTTCCTGTTTTCCGCTCTGCAGGTGAAGCGTTCCCGCAGCAAAGGGGGTCTGGCAGGTCCGGACGGAACCAAGTCCGTGTTTGGTCAGATGTGTGCCAAAATGAGCTCGTTCAGCCCAGACAGCCTGTTGCTCCCCCATCGCGTGTGGAAGGTTAAATTTGTGGGTATGTGTTCATGTCCACAATGGGAAGCCTGGGCTCCTCCTTCATTCCCAGAATTCAGTCTCACACAGGAAAAAAAAAATCTAC